TGACTGGAAGGTAGGTAATTTAGATAATCTTGGACTCTTTATTCTACCTGGAAGGAATTATAAAGAATACAAGTGCCTGATCGAACAACTAATCATACACTATAGGAATATTTGAATCAAATTTGGATCATAAAAGTAGAAAGGTGATTGACCCTTTTGCCTCTTCACTCTTTCAAGTGACTATTCTCACTCTCCCAAGTGACAATCTCTTCAACTCATTTTCTGTCTTTTCTGCATATTAATCAGATTTTGAGCGGTTGGCAGCCGTCTCTGTGGAACGACCCTGCTTACCACTAGCTAATAGTTTTAAGCAGGTTTATAAATATTTTCTTGGGGAAGTGATTCAATAACATCTCAATCCCCGCTCACCAATAATGGATCAGAGTTCTTAGGCCATCAGTGTCAAAGTCTCTTTAATGACTAGGGCATTCTTTATAAAAAAATCATGCCCTTATATAACCCACGCATTTATTCGAAATAGCTAGAGTTTACTTTTTCAATCAGAATTGCCCTAAATTTTTTGGGGAGATGCCATTCTTATAGCTAGTTACCTAATAAACAAACTTCCATCCTCAGTCCTTAATTTCAAATCTCCTTATGAGCTTTTGTTTCTTAAGCCACCAGACATTTCTCATCTTAGAGTATTTGGTAGTCTATGTATTGCAACTAATACTTTTCCTTCCAAAGGAAAATTTGACCCTAGAGCTATCAGATCAATGTTTATAAGCTATCTACAAGAACAGAAGCCTACAAACTCTATGATCTTGATCATTAAAGAATATTTGTTTCTAGGGATGTAGTTTTCCATTAATCTCCATTTCCTTACCTACAGACTGATAAATCTCACAACACTCTTTTTTCTGATCCATGTTATTATCCAGATCAATGGGATAATTGTCTTCAACCTTCAATAGAGGACTTCCATATAGAAAAGCCTTATCCAAACAATAATAATTTTCAAGTTCTGATAATGATCATTTTTCAGAATACACCTATTCAAAATCCTAACCCAGATTCTTCACCACATTTAGATACTATTCCCACTAGCAACCCTACAAGATCACGTATAGGTGGAAGCAATGCAGTTGGAAATCAAAGCTCTTGAATCAAATAATACATGGGAATTGACAAATTTGCCAAAAGGAAAGAAGGCCATTGGGAGCAAATGGGTATACAAGGTGAACCTGCATTCTGATGGGACAATTGAAAGGCTAAAGGCAAGATTGGTGGCTAAAGGCTACAATCAAATTGAGGGAGAAGATTATTATGATAGCTATTCTCCAGTTGCAAGAATAGTGACTGGCAGATTACTGTTAGCAATTGCATCAAGCAAGAAATGGTGTATTCAACAATTGGATATTAACGTTGCTTTCTTACATGGATGCTTGGATGAGGAAGTTTATATGCTTCCATGAGAGGGATATGACAAAGTTTAACCAGGACAAGTTTGCAAGCTTTAGAGATTATTATATGGCTTAAAACAAGCCTATAGACAGTGGAATAAAGAGTTCTACAAGAAAATTCAAGCTTTTGGTTTTTCTCAGTGCAAAAATGATTCTTGTCTGTTCATCATGAATACTGAAGGAATTTTCCTGGCTCTTCTAATCTATGTAGATAACATTTTACTTATAGGCTCAGATGAAGCTTCCATTTTTGCAATCAAGGAGTTTCTGGATCAGCAATTTACAATCAAAGATGTTGACCAAGCCAAGTATTCTCCCGGGATAGAGTTCACCAGATCAGAGGAAGGAGTTTTCCTCAACCAAAGGAAGTATATCTTGGAGATTGTCAAGTTAGCGGGCCTGTTGGGAAGCAAGCCAACTACAACTTTTCTTCCCAAAGGTCATAAATTCTCAAATGAACCAAGAGCTCTTTTATCAAATGCCTCTCAAAACAGAAGGATTGTTTTTCAGATACTCTACCTGTCTTTTATGAGACCAGATATTACTTTTGCAGTCCAACAACTCAGCAAACACGTACAAGCTCCCTGTGAAGATCATTGGACTTCTTTAACACATATTTTAAAATAGGACGAAATATATTTTTGGTCCCCAAAGTTTGAGGGTAGTAAGCTCGAGTCATCATGTATTTTCAATTAGTAAAAATAGTCTCCTAAAATGTTTTTCTTGTCAATTTTGGTCGATTGAACAGAAAATTTCAGTTAACTACCAAATTTTTTTTCCCGCTAGGTCCTTATTTTTTAATTACTTGTTGAATGGTAGGGCCCACTAAGTTGACCCAACAAAGAATTTTCTTTTTCATTTATTTTTATTATGATTTAATATAATTAAAAAAAATAAAAAATCCTTTTTTTAAGAAAAAGCTTTTTTCTTTAATTTTATTTACAACAATCAGAATTCATAATTTGAGGGTTTCGGGGAGCTCCGTCATCGTCGGCGGCATCGTCGGTATCATCCTCTTTGAATGCAACCAAAAAACACAAAAAAGAAAAAAAAAATGTCCCAACTATTTAAATGGCCGCCGCCGACTCCTTCATATTCATTCTTTTGTTGAATTTTTTATTCTTTTTTTGTCTGAAAAGGAAATAAATAAAACAAATGCAGCCGCCGGAATTCCTTTTTTTTTTTTTTTGCAAATCAAATGGCCGCCGGCGGAGGCAACCTCAATGCCTTGTCCGGAAGAAGCCCGTTGATTTTTACCAAGTCTCTCTCGCTCTATTTTCTTCAATGGCCGTTGCCGGAGCCAACCCCGATGCCTTGTCTCGAAGAAGCTCATTCCATTTATGCTGATATTTACCGAGTCTTAGTACATTTTCGGTCTAATTAGTATTTTCTTTCTGAATTCTTCTTGAAACAAATTTGTAACGTCTGAGATGTTGCGCCGGAATTTGTTGTTGTGAATAAAAAGATGGCCTTTTTTTTGGGTTTGGTTCTTGCAGTTTTGAGGGAAATGAATGAATCTCTTTGTTTAATTTTGCCCCCTTCTTTGTTTTACCCATGTTTGCAGGATCGTGATTCTAGGTAGGATCCAAATGCGGTCATAGGATCAAATAAAAAACGGAATCGGAATAGTAGAATCGTAAAATTAATTATACATGTTATATAATTAAATTAATTATACATGTTATATAATTAATTTCTTTAATAATTAGGTTTCAATTACTTTTATATAAAATATTTAACAGCTAAAAAAAATTGTGTAAATTCAATTTTCTTATATGAATTTTTTCATAATTTTTTAAGAAAAACTCTTCTCTTATAGTTCTTCTTTTTATTTTATTAGAATAACATTTGAAAATATATTTTTCTTAGCAATAAAAGTTTTCTCAAAGAATATTTACCTCAATTTAATGTGAACCAAAAGAAGTAAGAGAAAAGAAAAATCTCAATAAGTTCAATTAATTTTTTGTAATTGATGAATAGTAAACTCAGGCCGATCCTACGATCCTGACCAATCCTGTACGATCCTAACCGATCCTGACCGATCCCACTCCGATCTCACTGATAAATTCGAGTTTGACTGATTTAGGATCGATTTAAGTACCTGAGATCGTAGGATCGTTCGATCCTACGATCCAGGATCGAGAGTTTGCAAACTATGGTTTTACCACTTCATCCATCGGCATCATCTCAAGCCACAAGAACAATATGCCAAGGATTTTGATTCCGATGCTCTGTGTTTTAGGTGCTGCTTTTGTTATCTCGCCATTCTGAAAAGGTGCACGTCGAATAGATTATTTCGCCATATGGTATATCTGAACTGCGGCTTGCAGCAATCTTTGATTGATTCAATTCTTATTTCAAGTATAAGAATCAGATGGAATGATTGAAGTAAAAATAGAGTGCTCTTTTCTTTGAGTGAGTTTGAAGAAGATGAACAATAGAAGAAATCAAGAACTGAAATTAGAAAAAGATTAGGCAAAGGTGGGGGTGATTTTGGGTGCGGCGAGGTGAAGGGGTAAAAGGAAGATTTTTTATTTTTTTAATTACATTTAATTTTAATAGAAAGAAATTAATAAGAAAAAAGATTTTTTTTGGTAGGTCAATGTAGTGGGTCCCACTAGTTTAGGAAATGAATAAACAATTAATTATTTAACGGATAAATAGGTTGAGCCGTTAAGTCTAAAGCAATTCTGCTAAATTGAACCAAATTGATGAAAAAAATATTTTAGCAGACTATTTTGCCAATTCAAAATACGTGGTGACTCGAGCTTGCTACCCCCCAAACTTTGGAGATCAAAAGTGTGTTTTCTCCTTTCTTATGGATTATTCTACCCTTCTCAAATGATCTCAAACTAGAAGCCTTCAATCATGCTGGCTGGGGATCAGACATCATCAACAGACGCTCCATCAGTGGCTTTTGCATTTTTCTTTGCAGGTACTATTTCTTCTTCCTCAGTTGAGGCTGAGTACAGGTGTTTAGGTGTCACCACCAGAGAGCTTCTATGGTTGTCTTATCTACTTCATGACTTCATCCTCACCCCAGGGTTGCCAAGTCCACTATGGTGTGACAACAAAGCAGCCATTTATACTACAGAAAATCAAGTTTTCCATGAGCGGACAAAACACCTTGAAATTGATTGTCATTTTGTTAGGCATCAGTATGAGCTTTAATTTGTAGTTCCGCTTCATGTCAGCTCCTTTGATCAAATAGCTGAAATTTTTACCAAATCCTTGCCACATCCTCTCTCCTCTAAACTATTGTTCTAAACTGGTGTGAAGACTTGTCTTTCCATTCTAGCTTGTAGAGAGGATGTAAGGAAAGATGATCTTTCACCTTCAAGATCATATGTAGAAGATCACAAGAAATTAGAGTTGCAAATAATCAAGAAATCTGTACAGAAATACATTTTGGGCTATGTATAGGTTTGCCCTTAATACTTGTATAGGTGATGGTGTTAAGTTATGGGTATGAAGTTTATTGTACTTAAGTCGGCGAGATTAGACACATTGATTACCGATGATTACGGCTAGCATATTAATCAGATAGTTAGCAACTTGTATATGAAGAGCTTCTTCTGTACATTTCATTAACAATTGATGAAATATAGTTTATACAAAATCACCAAAGAAGAAGAAGATGAACAATTGGCAGCCCCATTTCGACTTGCTTTAGTAGGAAAATTCACCAAAGGCCAGCAAAAAATGGACTATCTGCATAGAGAATTCCAAATCATTGGCTTTAAAGGAAACTATTCAATTGGATCTATAGATTATCGACATATTCTCATATGTTTCGATCTCGAGAAGGACTTCCATCGCTGCTGGCTGAAAAGATTGTGGACCTTTGACAAGCATCGGATGCGACTCTTAAAGTGGACCACTGACTTGAATCCAGTGCATGAAAGTTCTATTGTTCCAGTTTGGATCTCCTTAGAAGGTCTTCCAATTTACCGCTTCAATAAAGATTACTTGTGGAAGCTCGCAAGCATCATCGGGACTCTACTTCAAATTGATGTGCCAGCCCTCAATATGTCACGACCTTCGGTGGCTCGTGTCTGTGTAGAGATTGACCTTTTCAAAGAGCATCCCATTCGAATCCAATTGGAAGTTGAAGGGAAATCATACTTTCAGTCCATTCTCTATGAAAACATGCTCCAATATTGTGTCGACTATAAAAAGATTGCTCATGACGCTCTTTCCTGTCGACACAATATGAAGGCAGCATCATTGCATAAAGTTGTTTTGCGCCAACCTGATGAGCCGAAAAAAGACAAGCAAGCAGCGCAGCCCACTGGGAAACAACCAGTAAATAATCTATCATCAACAAAGTCAACGGGGGAGAGAAACTCAGCCTCAACTGAGGTTGCGCCACCGTTGAAAACTGCTGGTATGGACTCATAGCCGCTTCACCAATCTGTTCAAGATCAACTGCATAAGGACCAAACTGTCGCAGATGATACTGAAGCTGCGAGGACTGATCGTATCATTGGAGATGGCACAATTCCTAATGTGACAGTCGCAAAGAATCATAATCCCATCATCGTCCAATTACCGACAAGCGCTAACAGCAAGGGTGGAAAATCTTCATCGCCAGTCATCGGAGAGGAAGAATCAAACCCTCAATCACTGCCGGACGCTCCAACAGATGCAGGAGATACTCACTCTTCACCATCTATTGTTCCACGATTAGAAGCCATCTATGGGGGGAAAAATCTATCATCGGCAAGCTTGCAGGGACGGCGAGAACAACTGGCGAGGAAGGATGACGCGTCTGTTACGGGAGCGTATGTTTTGCCAGTGCAGATTACGCCTTCCCCGATGTCCTCCGCAACTAACGCGACGTCAATGCCCCAAAATCTGGTTTTAAAATCAAATCAGAATATTCCAATTTTAGATGTGGAAAATTTAAACTCAAACTCTCCTCTCCTTCATTTTACTCCATCCCATTTTGAAAAAGTAAATGTATCGGAGTATATGTAATCTTGTACATTGTAATCTTGTAATTTATGTTTGTAATATGCCAGTCACTGAAATATGGAAAACAAATTCACAAATAATATGTTCTTGAAAAATCTATTTAAAAAAAACAAATTTTAAAAATTCAACGAACATAAAAGTAGAAAAAAAAAACAAGAACTAAAGAAACATGAGTATACGTATGTTGAATAAATCGTAAGAGGATCTGGGAACGGAACTGAAGGGAATAGCAGCATACGATTACCAATTTGAAAAGGCAGCTGGGTATAAGGGGTACTATATTCTATCTATACCTTCATTCAAAGATTTCATCTCTTAGTCATAACCCGAAAAAAAAAAAAAAATTCTCTCTTATTAATTTTAACTATTTACTCGCTTTATTCCAAAAAAAAATAGTCCACAGTTTCAAATTTGTTGGGTAATTTTTTTTTTTTGGCTGCATATTGCTGGATATATGGTACAAATTTGAAAACTCAATATACACCATTTTTTTGGAACAGGGGGAGTTTTTAAGTCACATTATTAGAAGTGATTCAAATTAAGTTGAAAAGAGGCAAAACAAAGTTAGAAAAAATAGCTCAAAGACTATTTGCAAATTATTTTACTCAGTATAGATTATATTACAATTTTGAAAGAAATGGGAGTTCCACAAAGCTCATATAAATTGTCTCATATTACCGTAAAGCAATCTCAGGTCAAAGTGGTAAGTGAAAACGTAACAATCATTTGCAGTTAGAGGGTAAGAATGCTCACCGTATATATAAAAGTCGCCTTAACAATGGTACAATCCTAGGAATCTTCTCATATATAGTAGTTGTTATAAATCTATAAGGAATGCAATTACGCAAAACTGTAAAGATGAAATTGCTGCCAAAAAAAATAAAAAAGAAAAAGAAAAAGAAGAAGTTTGTGATGTAGGATACCATGTTCCTCAATCGCTTTTACTACAAATTTATGAGACAAATCCATTGCTTCGAAACGCTTGATATTTGCAGAATGAGATTATGAAATTTTCCTGCAGCCATATAGATACAGAGATGAAAAAACAGCAGAAATAAGTTAGAATCGAATTCATCCAATTCATCGTCAGTGTTTCAATCAATGCTCCCACTATCATCATCATTCTTTTTAGCATAATAATCAAGAAAATCTCTCAAGTTTCACATCAAACAAGTTAAACTCAGTTTTGTGGAACGTATCCGGAGTTTTAATTAAATACCAATCGATCTACACATTTAGGTACACCATGGGATACAAAGAATAAAATATACAGTTAGAACTTTTGGTTTACAATGTGTTTCGAACGAAAATTTTAAAAATTATACAGATATTTTTTTAAAAAAATATTGTTTTATCACCACTATCTAATCACAAATTGCTAGTGTCGGCCGGATTAATAAACCAAGTTGGTCCGAAGTTGGTTAGAATCCAGCCAGCCGGCGATGTCCGACGAGGGTATTGGTGGTCTAGTAACGGTGGTCGAAAATTTAGTAAAATAATAGCCAAAATAATTAAATTTTAAAGTTTATGCTGAAATGTTATATGATGGTATTTATTTTGAATTGATATTTGAATCTAAGTTAAATAAATTTGTTTTGAATTTAAGTTCTTGTCTGTGAACCCCCTTAATTTTTGTATTAAAGTATTACAGATTCAAAATGGTATGCTAACTTATTTATGCCTTTTTTACATCTCTATATGAATGTTTGCAGGAAAGTTCTCATGTCATTCTGCAAATATCAAGCCCTTTCTAGCGAAGGGTTTTTCTGATAAATTGGTTGTAAAAGCTCGGGAGGAACAATATGGTATACTACTGCATCACACAATTCATTTTTTTTTTTTTTTTTGCAGCATTTTCATCTTTAGAGTTATTGATTCCTTAAACATTTGGAACATCTATAGGAGAAGATTATGGGGATTCTGACCATCTTGTGGACGCAATTTTTACATATATCGCGAGCATTAGTAGCCCCCGGTTGTCGCCGCTCAGGATTATTGTCTTTAATTTCATTTACTACTTTGACCTTTTAGGGTGCTTTAGGTTTGGCTTGCTAGTTCTGAAAATGATGTGACTGGGAAAACACAGAAAAAAGAATCGAAGGGTTCAAAATATTTCACAGAAGAATAACAAGAGGAACCCTGCCAAAATTTTTTGTCAATTACCAACATACATGAATGGATTCTATGACAATATAATAATTAGTTATTCACAGTAATGTACATTCCTGCTATGTCTTTAAACTTTTAGAATGAAATTGATTAATGTTTTGAAAAAAGAAAGGAAGGGTTTTCGAGTGGCGGCAGTTATGGTTGTTCCCCGTTTCTCAAAATTCAGAGGTCAATAATGTAATGTTTATCTACTGCTGTTATATTTATCTTTACTAAGGGAATACCTCCACATGTTGATATAGTTGTATAGTTGGTATAGGAGTTATCCCTATCACTGTAATCTATCTATATAAGTACAGAGTACATCAATGGAATCAATCATCAACTCATATTCCAATACTTGAGTTGGTATTAGCCGCTCTAGTTCTTTTTGGATCCTTCTTCTTCCTTTCTCTTATGTTACCATGTCAACCCCTTCCTTTTCTGTCAGTTCCTCTCCATCATCCGGCGCGCAAATTCCGTGACTGCGCCCTCTCTCTTCTCATTCTCTTCCAACGTCTCTTCTCTTTATCAATCCTTCTCAATCAAACTCTCCTCACGAGAGAACTATGCTAGTTGGAAACTTCAAATCCTCCCTCTCCCTAAAATGTTAAACCTTCAATCTATTATCGATGGAACTGAACCTTGTCCGTCTCCGACAATTGTCAACCCCGCTACTCAGCAATCTCAGCCTAATCCGGAAAAATCAGATCCCCTCTTCATCCCCTCTTCATCTCTTAATAAGCAGATCCCGGAAAAATTGGCCGATCTACCCAATGGTTGACGTGCGTTGTCGATTCTACTCTATTCTTTTTTGATTAGCCAATATTACCCTAAACTATCCAACCGTTAGCCGATTTTGTCCAATTAGCCAATTTCCGTTTAAATTAACGGAATTCTGTTAGTTTTAATTACAAAAAATACCTTAATAGTTTTGAAAATTATAAAAACGACCCTAAAAATTTTGTAAAAATAACCAAACAGTCTTTTTACACTTTTTATTTAATTTTTTATGTTTCCTATTTATTTTTATTATTTCTCATAACTATAAAAATATATTATATGATCTTTTAAAAAAAACTATTTATTTTTAAATACTACTGTGCAAATTTATAGATATGTATATTCGTAACTCATGGTTGATTTACATAAATATATTAATTTTTTAATAATATAACTTGACAATAATGATATTAGTTTTTTTAATCCTTTTTTTAATTTAAAGAATACTATTTTTTGACTAAAACCAATTTTTTACAAAAAAGTAAAACATTTAGCATAGATTAAAAATTAATGTATTAGTACATTTTAATTTGTTACAAATCGAATAAACAAACTGTAGATTGTATTATCCAATTTAAAAAATTACTAAACTAAAATATAGTGTACAATCTAGTGTTTAGGGTGTTGAGATATAAAATTAATTCTCACCAAGGATTTTTAACCAGGAGAGTAATTTTATCCACATTTATGCATGGTTTACTAAAGGTTGAATTGGATGGTCAGTTGATTTAAGATGGGAGATGATTATTACTGTGTTCGAGGCCTTAATTCACACTGGGGTGATCTTTTTTTTTTAAAGGTGGAGTCTAGTACTGAAGCAGATTTTTTTTATTATTATAAAAAAAATATTTCCTGCTAAAGTTAGATGTTAATATCTCAAAAAAATTATCACGAAATGTTAAACTCTCGCAATGATAAATATACATATTTTTTATAAAATATTTTGTACCATTTTTTTTTTTAGTTTCTGTTTGTACTTGGCCTTTTAAAGAAAATGTATATTTTAGTTTAATTGTTTTTTTAATTTTACAATACAATCGAAATTCTGTTGAATTATATTATAATAATACATTAAAGTATCCCTTTCAGTGTCCTTTACCAACAGCAACCCGATTTTTTTAAAAAAAAATTTTTGGTTGTGGTATTTATCCCTACCTCCGCCCATATAGCAAAAATAAATTCTCATTCGGGTCCAAACAATGTGTTTTTCTAGGCTATTTCCCCCATCATCTTGGTTACCGTTGTCTCCATATTTCTACTAATCGTATCTTTGTTGTTCGCCATGTTCAATTTGATGAACGAGTGTTTTCAATCGCTGTGCCTTCTTCCGCGTCCAACCCTTCCCCGATGACTGGACATTTGTTGCTGTCTTCTCTACCGATTCAAATCTCAGTTGTCTCTCCGTTCTCCAATCCCTCTCCTCCGCCTTCTTCTACACCATCTCCCCAATCCCTCTTGTCTATAGAGACTTCACAATCCATTCCCGAATCTACTTCTTTTCCTAATACTCCACTGCATTCCCCTGCCTTGTCCCGTTTGAGTTCCTCTTCTCCACCACAAAACTTGTCTCCTCCTTCTGACTCCTCATTTGGTTCTTCTGTTGCATTTCCCTCTCCCAGCCCTTCTTCCGCTTCCCCTAATGGAACCGGTCTCCATTTCATTGTTGACCTTGATACTCTAGAAAGCCCTAAACCTAATCCTCCTCCCGGTTGCACGCACCCCATGTCGCTGCGCCCCACTACTCTTGCCAAAAGCAAATTTGCGCATTACATCTCTCTATCGTCTCCCTTGCCTGTTGCTCCTCGCTCTTTTTCTGAAGCCATGTCCTAGCCTCCATGGCAACAGGCCATGCTCCAAGAAATCACAGCCTTACATAAAAATCGAACATGGTCCCTTGTTCCTCTCCCTCCCTCCACTAATATAGTTGGCAACCGGCTATACAAAGTGAAAACAAACCCTGATGGTAGCCTTAATCGCTGCAAAGCGCGCTTGGTGGCTAAAGGGTTCACTCAGCTGTTTGGAGTCGACTATACGGACACCTTCGGCCCCATTGTTAAACCCATAAACATAAGGACAGTTCTTGCGGTTGCTGTTGCTCATTCTTGGTCCCAGTCGCAGCTTCATGTCAGTAACGCTTTCCTCAATGGGG